ACCGAAAAAGGCTTTATTTTTACAGGCCCATTTGTGAAAAGCCCATTAGACTCTCATCTGACACACTACTCAAACCAAATGGGGTGAAAGAAAAAACAAAAAGAGAGAAAGAAAAATGGCGATGGAGATCGGAGAAGATGATTGGGTGGTTTGCTGTGGAAGCTCCGATTTCGCGAAGCTGATGGTGAAAGCTTCTCCGTTTAACTCCTTAGAAACAGCGACCGACACTGCAAGAGATATTTGGTTCAACCAAGTTAATGTTACAGCTTGGCTTGAAGCTTTCGCTGCTCATCCTCAGATTGGGAAATCTCCTTCAGCTTCTTCGATCAACGCCGATTTTGCTCGTCGGAGCGAAGCAGAGCAGTCCACGGCCTTTGCCACAACTTCTACTTCTGCCTTACAGGTGATGATTCGATCTCCACAGTTCTTTTCGTCCGTCTCTTAAACACTGATGATGATGGATTTTCTTCAACTTCTTAGGAGCTTTCCGAGTGGAATGTAATCTACAGAGAAAAGTTTGGGTTTATCTTCATAATTTGCGCTTCCGGTAGGACTCACACTGAGATGCTCGCCGAGTTAAAGGTCAACTTAGCAATTCCAAATTAGTTTTTCTTAGTAGTCCCCAGATTGTTACATATTCTCCAAATCTGACTCTCTGTTTTTCTCAGGGAAGGTATGCAAATAGGCCGATAGTAGAGCTTGAGATTGCTGCTAAAGAACAAATGAAAATAACAGAGCTCCGGATGGCAAAGCTGTTCTCTGATAAGGCTAAAGGTGTCTCAGGAACTGAGTCAACAAAACCTCAAGGTATCTTAGTAGGAGTCAGTTTGATACCAATTATGTGTCTGTTGGAATACTCTCATGGCTATATTCTTCGTTTACTTTCTTGCTTTACAAGATCGTCTGAGAATCATAGGAGGGCATTTGAATGTTGCAGCTGAAGCAAAAGCTCCAAAGAGAAGTAGGCCACCCATCACGACTCATGTCTTAGATGTCTCTCGTGGTGCTCCAGCTGTAGGTGTTGAAGTGCACTTGGAGGTGTGGAATGGTACTACCAGTCCTTCCCTTGGTGGCGGGGTCTGGTCCATTGTTGGCACTTCAGCTACCGATAAAGATGGTCGCAGCGGACCACTGATGGATTTGGTTGAGGCTTTGAATCCAGGGACATATAGAATAAGTTTCAACACTGCAAAGTATTGCCCAGGGGGCTTCTTTCCCTACGTTTCGATTGTGTTTGAGGTTACAGAATCTCAGAAATGGGAGCATTTCCATGTCCCGCTCTTGCTATCACCTTTTTCTTTCACCACTTACCGTGGGAGCTAGAGCTGCTGCTGCACATTTGGTTTCGGTGGTACTGTGGCTGAACATCTATCAAAAATGTTATACAATTAAATCTTTGTTCGAGTATTACTTTGGATTTGTAATCGTGTAAAACCATCAATGATTTACCAAAATAAGCAGAAAATGTTGTGTTCTGATCTAAACTCATTGCGAGCAAGGCAATATAACTGTGTAGATACTATGTTAAACTTCTTGATAGATCCCAAACCTTTGCACAAAATGGTCAAACAAAAAAACCAAGTTCTAAAGCTACTGCTTAAAAGCAGCTTTTGCACCTCCCTGGCTATATCTACCCTATTCCCCAAAAGTTCCCTGGCTATATCTACTTTTTCCTCCAAAAGTTAGCAAATTCTTTCGCAAAGGACATTATATTGCTCCAAGCACTTGACCTTTCTCCTGTCTCCACCTCAACAGCCCGTCTCTCTGAAACTTGTCTGCAAAAATAACAGATATAAGAATTCAAACAGACATTGTGCCAACAAACAATCAACTTGAATGGGATTTTCTATCACTCAGAACAAGATATCCATCTATGAACTAAATTATCTGAATACAGTATAAAGGATCCAACCAGCTACAAAGAGGCCTAGTTTTATGCTCAAGATACCTGGTAATCTTTGTTTCCTCAGTAGTCACAACATTTGCTGAACTGGCAGCTCCTTCAAGATCATCTACTTTTGACTCTTGACTACCCTCATATGTCAAAATTTCCTTTTCCTCAGCCTCTGAGTTTTTTGAACAGTCCTCTAATACTGTACTCTTTTCACTTCCAGGTAGATGAGTAGTGCTATCGCATTTACTGTCAACGTCATTGTTAGGAGCTGTTTCTGTTTCTCTTTTCTCCTCTGTTGCAATAATGACAAGATTGTCGCCTTGGAGATTAATTTCATCAGAATACTTGGTAATCTTTGCTTCCTCAGTCAGCACAACAATTTCTGACACGGCAGCTCCTTCAAGATGATCTACTTCTGACTCTTGACTACCCAAATGCATCAAATTTTCCTCTTCCTCAGTCTCAGAGTTTTTAAAAGATGCCTCTAATGCTATTTCCTTTTGACTTTCGGATAGATGAGCATTGATATCCCATTTACTGTTAACCTCGTTGTTAGGAGCTGTATCTGTTTCTCCTTTGTCCTGTGTTGCAGTAACGACAAGAGTGTTGCCCTCAAGACTAATTTCATCAGAATCAGGGTGAGAAAAATCTATTGTAGCCTGCCTTAGATCACTTCTTGTCCCAATTGTATCAGCCTGTAGCACAGTAGCAAGGGAAAATGAGCCAAGTGGTAAGTGCAGCCTAAAGAAATTCAGCAAATCATACAGAAGCAAGATATTTACTTGAAATATAGAGTCAACAACCCCAGTAGAGAAAGAAGCAGCACTATGTGACTGAGGGTCATTCAAAGTCTGTGAGGAAGCATCATTTGGCACAGAAGTAGGGACTTCTGAGAGGGCTTTGGCTACGATTGGCATGGGTGCATTTTGTTTGAGCTTCAGCTCTTGAAAGATATCCCTGACAACATAAAAACCCCCTCCCACTTCCTTGATAGTACCTCCCAATGTAGGGAATTCACCACCATTAGCTGCTCTGTATCTGCATACAAACAGCACATATCTATTCAGAATTTTGAGGTTCAGATGCTTTAGCTGCCACATATTGCTATCTACTCGACATGTACCTATACAAATGCTCTTATGAACTTTTTTTCTTTTGACAAATATGAGAAAACTATGATACACAAAATAGAAAAGAAAGCCATGGAGAATCAAAAGAATGAATTACTCGTTGACATAAGACTCCACCACAGCTCGCCGATCATCTCTTGATAGTCTTTTGGAGGCTTTCGAGGTTGTTAGAGATTCGCAAACAGCAGGAGAGCCATAGAACCTTGCAAAGCTTTCAACATCAGGATTCTTAAGTGTACCAGACACTGCAAAAAGACATCATGGTAAAAGACATTTCAGAAATACATGAGAAAGGAAGGGTTTAGCTCTGTTACATTTAAGTTGTTTCAGCTGCTTCAGAAGCATCACTGCACGACCGGGATTTCCATGAATCGGCATCTGCGTTAAGAAGATAGTAACTAGGGTCGGTTCTGAGACTGTGCTACTCGTACATCAACGCGATCAAGTCCCCGCAACAATTCCATAACTGAGTTTCGTTACCTAAACATCACGATATACTTCGATTCAGATTCTAAGTCAAGTTTATACGAACATCGATTACTGTCTATTCGTCGGAAAATTCCTCTTATGAGAATCGACAATAACCTTAGAAAAGCGATAACAAGAAGCTTACGTTGAGAGACGAACCAATCACTACTGTCTACTGGTCGGAAAACCGAAAACCTTGCTCGGAGGAAACTGAGAGAGACCCTTTTTACTCGGCGTAGAGTAAAGAACAAAGTAGGGTTCCGACCAACCGATCCTTTTTTACTTCCCTAATTCTTTTTGCAAAATCATTTCATAAATATTTATTATTTCTAATTTTATATTTTATGCTTCTACCTGAAATTGGGCTTATTCCAACAGGTCAATTATATATGTAGGGCCATCAAATTATCTCTCTTTTGATACTAGATGAAGATTATATGACAGAACTGATAATGTTAAATGTTTCCAAACTCCATTATGTTTCAATAACATTTACAGTGAGCATATTAATCTTTGATGGCTTTAAACACGAGTTTATTGATTCAAATTCAGGTCATATCCTCGAACAATGTATTTTCCTCCACAATCTTGGCAATACTTCCGACTACCTGTACCCAAATTTCTGCTACTTTCTTGATTTTCCTATCTAAAATTTCCACAGTCGTGAAAGCTCTTCTTGTCCCGCCACCACTCTCAGACTCCGTTGCTCCAACCGGAATTTCATTTCTCCCCATTCCACTCCAACTATCTCCTCCTTGACAGTTTTCCTTTATCCCTTTAACTCTTGGAACTATTGCACCGTTGACATAAACGGTCTGGTTGTCGCTACTTTGCACAACCATTTTCCGATTTCCTTTACCCGCTTGCAGTTCCTTATGCATGTGTCCAAACACAACTAAAGGAACCGACAGCTTCGTTGTCTCCTTCAACTGGCGTAATGCCTGCTCTAGATCTGAAACATTAAACTAACTACAATCAGCACTTTGGAGGCTGAAGCGTGTAAAATGACAATGATGCCAAATTGAAAACATGGCAAGCTTGCTTCACCTGGATCACCATGGTCACCGCCTTCGTCCCACCAGTCTTTTCCACATATATCCTCTGCTTGAGAACCAAGACCTGTTAGACAGAAAAACCACTACTTAATCCGTTTTAAGTTCAACCTGACTGGCCTAAGACTAGACCAATAAGAAAGCTTCAAAGGTTCATGATATACACCTGTTGGCCCGTTATGTGCAAGAATTATAGCCACATGATCTTCTGGTGTTCCATGTGCAGCACGACAAATACTCCTTGCACTGGCATCCATATCATGAACTCCATACCTAGAAAAATATTAAAAAAGAGAGTAATTGAATTATAGTTTTCTCTGACTTGAATCCAGGGTGTTTAAAATCGGTATCCCTAATCATTAGACTTGTACGTTCACAGAGATCACCCCCACAAATACAAGATCTTAAAGTATTGAACGAGCTGCAGTTTCATTAAATGTCAATTCATTATTTTTCAATCACCGAGACCTGTCATACAAAGATCTAGGCAGCTCCTTTTCTTCTGAGCCTAGATTCATTTCTTAGTTTTTTTTCCCAAGAAGAAAAGCTATTTCGACCAATGAATACTTCATATAAAACATACATGAAGATGCATTTCTGCCATGTAAGTCAAATGCTAACCTCTGGTAAAGCAGTTTTGTACGAAACAATTGATGCCCACCATGTGAAAAGGGCCGACCACCAACAATACTGAGCTTAAATGAGGGGAAGTCCAAACGTTGATATCCTACGTGCTCGTCACCAAGGCTGTTGGTTGCAGCAAGACATAAAAGAAGCACAGTAAAAATTTAAGAATCTGTGTCCAATAACCAAAACCAAAACCAAAGACTACAGGAATAATGATATAGCTAAGGATCACGAGTCGAAAAAACAAAAGCTCGCTTTTTATTTTTGCAAATCCGACAAACAAATCAAGAACACAAAATGAAAACGTTTACTAATAAACGCTCTACCTAAATCTAGTTCCCGGAGTTGGTTCTGACGACGATTAATCTCTCCCCTATCTAAGGAGTTCTCCCAAGAAAGTCATATTTAAACAATGAGTTAAACCTGTTCGAACTACTTGACAGTTATGAGGATGAACAACAAAAAAAAACAACCATTGCAGCATCGTGTGTTACGTTATATGTAGCATCCCAAGAATACCAGGTAAAAAAAACTAAAGGAGCAGGCAGAATCCATAGCTAGAGTGAAACTGATGATAGGTATTTCCTGATATAGCATGAAGCACGAGCAAATAGTGGAAACTCACATATCGAGTTGCATTTGAACACGGTTTTGTCTCCTGGAT